ACACACAAAATAAGCCTAAAAATTATTATTATTATTATTATTATTATTATTATTAAGAACATGAGATAGCAAATCATTGTGCCAGGAAGGCTCTGCACTAATGTACAGGGCTCAGGAAGCCCATGGTACATACATATGTGCGTTCCTGTGCATGCTCGCATATACACGAATACACAAGCGTATACACTTAGATACACTTCCACAGGGGTGAGTTTGTACACACACAGACACTCACACCCTTGAGATACTGAAGCTTCCCTCTTGCAGAAGGAAGTAGGTTAAAGGCATAGCTGGCTGTAGAGCATTTATCCAGCATGTGGGAGAAAGGCCCTAGGCTCTATCGCCAGCAGCATTTAGCAAAGGTGTTGGGAAGTGAGGCATGGTGGCATGTCTGTTATCCCCACACTGGAAGCTGATGATCTGTGAGTTTCAGATCAGCTAGGCCCACATGATGAGACTTTGTTTTAAAGGGAAGGGAATAGAGGACTGCAGGGAGCGGGGGGAGGCCATAGCTCAGGGGAAGAGTACTGGTTAATACTCCCAAGCCCCTGGGTTCAGTCCTCAGCACCACAGAAAACAAAGAGGCAGGACAAGGTGGTGCCCAGTAGATGGGAGCAGGCAACAAGACAGAACTGATCTGCCCACCCTACAGTCTAGAGCCAAAACTGCAGGAAATCCCCACTTCACAGGCCCTTCCCTGCTCCAGGAGTAAGTGAGAAAGGGATAAGGTAGGGGCAGGGACACCAGGAGCCTGTCCCCACTCTCTCTTTACCTTCTTTCTGCTCTGCAAACTTTGAATCATTCCAGCTGGTACCCACCTTCTACTCACTCTGGTCACATGAAACCCCTGGCCACTATACCCTGGCCTGGGGCCAGAAGCAAAAATGAAAACAGGGGCAAGGCTCTGCTGTCCCTTTGTATGATTTTTTTTTTTTTTTATGCTTGTGGTAGACTGGGGAAGGGTAAGCTTTGCAGGGAAGCATTGGGGAGGGAGGGCTGATATTCCAAGTGTATGGCTCTGTGCCACATGGCAAAAGTTAGAGGGAGGTCCCCAGACACAGGCACAAGTCAGGCCACGCACAGGACAATCTCAAAATACCAGTACCAGCTCATCAACCACTTAGTGCAGGTCTTCTGGGATGCCTGGAAACTTCCCCAGCTATCACTCTGGGATGACCAGCCAGCCATTTGATGGTGTACCCTGTGGACACCTGGGTCAGTCCCAGGAGGCCTCCTCAGCCTCCTGCCTAAGACATTCTAGGATTAGCACTCAGGCAAATCTCAGGGGCCCAGCCCAGGACTATATTCTCTTTCTAGCTCTTCTTCCCCAGGCCAGGGCAGACTACAGTGCCAGCCCCTCTGTGCTCACTAAGGCTCTCCATGCTGGAAGTTTCCTCCCTACCCATCCCATTGCTTCTCCCTATCCAGGGCTGCACAGAGGTATGCTGAGCATCAAAGTGCCAACAGGGACCATGAAGGAGCCCCCAGGTCCTTAAGCACCTCTCAGGAGGGAAGATAAGAAGAGCCCCCTGCCCTGACCTCACCCGATGCAGAAGTTGAGAGATCAGGTCCTGCACCTAGCCTCGGCAGCACTGTAGAGTTAGCCCTGGACCTGGGATTGCAGGTGAGCCAGCCCGAGGGCATGGACAAGGGAAAGTTTCACTCCTCCCCTTCTTGATCCCTCGTCACCTATATATAGCAGACAGGAGTGATGGCCAGTGGGGACACAAGAGTAGAACTGGCCTGTCCCTCACTGGAGAGTGGGTGTAAAAGTATCCTTTATTTGTCTGTCTAATGGTCATCTTGGATGCTTACTGCCTGTCTGCTAACCTGGGCCTTGTCCTGGAAGCTTCCAGCCTCTGTACAATCTCATCTAGGCCTAGAATGTTTGCAGCCTCTGAGACTTACTGCTGAATGACCACACCCTTTCTTGTTCTTACTGAACTCTTGCTGGCTGGTTCAAATCACCTGTACGGCTCAAACTCCTCTCCAAGCTGACTGATTCAAACTGGCTTCTCTCTCTGCCTCTGACTGAATTGCTCTGCTTGGCCTCATACTAACTTTGGCAATCTGTTCTAATCTTCTGGCTCCTTCTCATTCTCTGATTCGTTCTTTCATCACCTATGTCTAGCCTGTTCTCTCTTCAACCTGTCTCTGTAAAACTCTCCCAGTAAAACTGCCTCTGAATTCCATGCACTGAACTGCCAGGAACTCAACTCCACTGCACTTTCTCTCAACTCCCTGACTCAACAGACCTGCCTGAACAGCACTGACTAGAACTCAGAGATCTGCATGCCTTTGTCTCCTGAGTGCTGGGATTAAAGGCATGTACTACCACACCTGGACCTTAGGGTTTGTTTTTTTACCTGAAACTTGCTCTATATCAGGCTGACCTAGAACTCAAAGACCTGCTTGCCTCTGTCTCCTGGCAATAAAGGTGTCTGTTTTCCAGCTGGATCACACACACCTAGAAGGTCTTTGCATTCGACCTCTTGCTGGTGCAGCCATGTTCCTAATTAAAATTCTAAAATTCTGCTACAAGCAGACCCCTCAGCTTGCTTGGGCTTCAGGGAAGAGCTTGCCCTGGTTGCAGGGGTGAGGGCTGGCTGCCTCAGTGGTGTGAGAGCAGGAGAGCTTGCCCTTTCACCCCTCCTGGGCAACAAAATGAGCTGGCCCCGATGGCATGAACACAGATGAACAAGCCCCAAGTGCATGAGAGCATTGTCTCTGGCTGGCTGAGAGGAGGGATGGGGATGGGCCAGCCAGGGCAGGGCAAGATCGCTCCCCCCCCCCCCCCCCGGTGGTGTGGGTGTGGAAGAGCAGGCGGGCTGACCAACTCAGATACCTCTTTGGCCCAGATCTAGGGTTTTGAATAATTAATGAACTGCTGAAGGTATGGATCCCACAGATCCAAAGCTACAGGACCTCCATGGCACAGGGCAACAACAGGATATCTGAGTGGAGCCCCAGGGAGGTTCCAGTATTGATAGTGTAGCAGAAGCCAGAGGCCTTGTACCAGACCAATGTGTCACTGCAAAGTAAAGAAGTATGAACAAAAGGGTATACTGCAGGACACACAGAAACACACTACAGCCTCCTTTTTTCATTGTTGGGGGGAGGTTGCAAGGGCGGAGGGTGGGTACGAGGGGAGGGGGAGCTGAGAGGGATTGGTGTGCATGATGTGAAATTCACAAAGAACCAATAAAAGGTTTAAAAAAAATTAAAAAAGCCAGGCAAGTGGGGTACACCTTTAATCCCAGCATTCCAGGAAGCAGAGGCAGGCAGATGGCTGTGAGTTCTAGGCCAACCTGGTCTACATAGTGAGTGCCAGGACACAGAGAAACCCTGTCTTGAAGAAGAAGAAGAAGGAGGAGGAGGAGGAGGAGGAGGAGGAAGAGGAGGAGGAGAAACAACAACAACCACAACAACAGCCCCCTCCCTTGAACAGTTGGAACATCATGTCTTCAGCCTGAATGAGGACACTGAGCCCTTGGTTGCCTCTACAAGACAAAGGGCCAGGGGAGCAGAGACAGTGTACTCAGTGAAGGAAGACTAGCAGCAAGTGGAAGAGGAAAGAGATGCAGTGCACAGGGCCTCAGAGGCCTGCACCCCTCTGCCCAAGGTGAAGGGACTGCTCAGAGCTCAGCCTGGTTCCACCCTCCCTGGCTGTCTCTGCTTCAGGGACTCTGCCCCTTTGCTCCTTAGTACAGTCTCACCTCAGTGACTTTGCTACTACACAACCTGGCCCCATAAGCTAGAGAGCAATGGTCAAGAAGAGCATGAAGCACCAGACCAGTTCATTCTGGGTAGAACAAGAATGGGTACACTAGACTGTGGGTGAAGCATTGCTTATCGACCAACTGGGGCTCAAACACTCTGCAACCGCCCTGTGCCTATGGACTTGAACCCCAGTCCTGTACACTAACAATCACTTGCCCTATTTTGTCTGGCAAACATAGGACAACCCTCAGATTGTCCTTAGATGCAGCTCTGGGCCACCTGTCTTTTTTCCAGGTCCTTCCCACAGGTCTATGGCTTCTTAATGTCCCTCAGGGGTCAGTACATAGCTGGGCATGAGCTGAAGGAGTCCAGGGACCTGCCACTTTGCCCAGTGACCAGCCAAGGAGGTACATTAAAGGAGGCCACCACTGAATATTGGCTCAGGTCAGCCCAATATTCCTGCTGGACCGGCCAGGCACGGAAGTGCCAGTTTTCCTGACATTGCCTCTGGCCTCCATCCTAATGTCCACTGCACTGTGGTTCCCTCCGAGGGCCACCCGGTCACAAACAGGAAGCACAAGCAGCCAGCAATGATCAGAGACAGCCTCATTCATCACATCTCACAGGAGAAAGGCTCTGGAAGATGACAAGGTCCTTCTAACAGGTTGCTTCCAAAGTCAAACTCAGCAAGCTGTGCTGTCTCTTTAGAAAAAGAAGCAATCCTGCTGGAGGTGCAGGGCGGTTCCAGCCCCCTCCGAGCGGATGACAGACCACCCCAAGAGTGGTCGGACCCAAAGTGTGGCCCAGCCTTCTCCTTGGTCCAAGCTCACAGGGTGGGCAGAAGCAAAACCCGGATTTCAGCAGGGAGCGACCAATCACCTGCCAATGTAGACGTCTACCCCAGAGGCTGTCCGCGATCCCGCGGGGAAGGATCCTCCTAGCCTAGCCTTTCAACGCTTCGGGTATCCCCCGCCCACGGCTGGCCAGACAGCCGGAAGCAGCAGGGACCTTCACTGACTAGTGTGCGCCACAGCCGGGTAGGGGGCTTCGTGCTATCTGCACCACCCCACTGCACTGTAAGCTCCCCAGGGTACTCCACGCCCCCAGCCTGCGTGCGCCAAGCTCTGTCCGCAGCAAGCCCAGCACGCGATAGGAACCGGAGGATGGCGGCTGGACGGGGGAGGCGGGGCAAGGTCATTGGTCGGAGGAGGCCACGCAACGAACCCGAGGACCCGCACCGGAGCAGCCCGGCCGCGTTACATAAGCGGTGGAGCGCGTACCTGCAGCGGGAACATGGCCGCCCTGTTGCCCACGTAGCCGCGGACGACATGGCTCTGGATGGAGAGCACCCGGCATTCGCCCTCCATGCCGGGCAGGCCGTGGTGGCGCGTGGCCCAGGAGGTGTCACGGGCTGGAGCTGCTCAGGCCGCTCGCTCGGTCTCCGCTCCCGGGTGCCTCCAGCACGCGCAGGCGCTAGGCTTGGACGCGCTGCCCGCCTCCTCTGACCTCAACAGGCCGGTTGCTTACCCGCGAGTCCCGCGCGGCGAGGGGCGGGCTGAAGGCGGTGCCGAGCGCTGGCCACGCCCCTCCGGGAAAATAGACTTGTGGAATGCAGCATGTGAGCTCCTCTGTGCTGCAGCACGTGGGCGCGCAGCCCCTTTTTGCAGACCTGGGTCCGCAGCAGCCGGTTGCACCCGGAACACACTCCCCGGTAAGGTTCGTTCATTGCACACTATTCCGCCTCACTTGCGTGCGGCGCTGATCACCCCACGGCTGACACTCTCTGAAGCTGCTGTCCAAGGCGCTCCCACCAAGCTCCAGCTCCTGAAGACCCTCTATGTTAGGAGGACCCCTCCAGCCACTCGGACTGCATGGAATCCCAGAGCCGGTGGGGCGCATGCCTGGGCTGTCTAATCTCGGGCTGCCCTGAGTTGAGATCCATCCCAGCGATCCTCTCCAGGCTTAAGTTTGCTCAGAGCCACCCGTGGGAACAGATTGGTCGTCCCCTCTTCATCTCCCACCAAGTCCTATACTTTGGAGCACTCCTGGTTACGGACACCAGGTTCACAGATTGACAGCACAGGCCTGCATGTAAAGTTGACAGTATCTTGGTGAGAGTATTGGGGACCAGATCTGTTCTGAGGAGGGAGGAAGGACCTCATTGCTTAGGGAACAGATCAGAAAGAGGAAGTGGGGGTTGAGGCTCAGTTGGTGGAGTGCATGCCAAGGCCCTAGCTTTCATCCCAGCACCAGAAAAAGTGAACAAAAAGAGGAATTGTAAGGAATGCTTGATGGGAATTAATTACATGGAAGTGCATTTTTGGAATATTCAATTGCTTGCTGGTAATAGCATTTACTGCACACTTGGCTGTGTGCAGGACATTTTTTTTTTTTTTTTGGTAACACCCTGAATCTTGCCTGGAGCAATGATGCATACCTACAGATCCCATTGTGTGTGTGTGTGTGTGTGTGTGTGTGTGTGTGTGTGTGTGTTATCTGTGTTTCTGTATAGAAGACCCCTGGTGCCATTATTTAGGGGCCATTCATTTTTTCTTTTTGCTTGTTTGAGACGGGGCCTCATGTCTTCCTGCCTGGTCCAGAACTCACTATGTAAGGCCAACTTGGCCTTGAACTCAGACCCATCTGTTATGATTGGCTTAAAAACACACCACACATAGGACAGATCTGGTATGAAAAGATATTTATTTAGGGGAAGGGAAGCAGAAGAGAGTTAAAGACCATCCACCTTTGAGTGCTGGGATTTAAAGGTGTGTGCTACCATACCTGGACCTGTCTTGTTTGTATATTTGTATGTCTGTATGTGTGAATGGATCCTGCTAGGTCCTGGAAGTGTTCTCTTAGTCTAGGATTCCTGGCTATGAATCCCCAGGGGTCCACCTATTTCTAATTCCCTGGTGCTAAGTTCTGCTTTTTAATGTCTTTTTTTAATTAATTTATTTAATTTTATTGTATGTGCATTAGTGTGAAGATGTCAGATCCCATGCAAACAGCATTACAGACAGTTGTGAGCTGCCATGTGGGTGTTAGGAATTGAACCTGGGTCCTTTGGAAGAGCTTATACAGTGCTTTTAACCACTGAGCCATCTCACTAGCCCCTTAATTTCTTTCTTAACTTTTTTTTTTTTGCCAGGTTCTCACTAGGTAGTCTTGGCTGGTCTGGAACTTGCTATATAGGCCGAGCTGAGGTTGAAGATCCACCTGTCTCTGCCTCCCTAGTACTGGGATTAAAGGGCGTGCCACAGTGCCTGACAGGAATTGTTTTTAAATTGTAGTTCATTTATTTACTGACCAGTGGGAAGGGTGGAAGGGAGAGGGTAGGTTGTAGAGAGGGAAGAGGCTCTCCTGTCATATTGTGCATGTGGAGGTCACAAGACAACCTGCAGGAGTTGGTCCTCTCCTTCCACCCCGTGGGTTCCAGCAATCTCACTCGGCTACCTGGTTTTGTGGCAAGTGTCTCTCCTGCTGAATCAACTACACATCCGAGTTACAAGATTGCTAACCTTTAACATCATGATTCAGGGGCGGGTTTTGCCTGGCATGCTTTGCATACTAAAACATTTGAGGATTTGGGAATCAAATGTGGACAGAGCTGCCTGGCAAAAGGCTCCTGCAAGCAAGCGCTCCTACTCAGATTTTCTTTTCCTTCCTTTTCTCTGCTCATGCATCAAGAAACATTTCTCTCTCTCAGTCCTAAGGCAGTTCTCACCCCCTTTGCCTTAGCACATCCCCTGGTGGGTTGGGTGGGGTTGTGGCAGAATCTCCCCTTTAATCCAGGCAGGCTCAAACTCAGATCTCTGCCTTGGGCTCCAAAGTTTGGCAATGATAGTCACTGATCCTGACATCTAGACATGACCTTCTGATGGTTCTGACTGACTATTTTACAGCCCACTGTGTGGACTCTGGCAGCCCTTGGGGATGGTCCAGCAGGGGTCATGACCTTTCTGTGGCAAGGGTCTTGCTGATGGGCTGGTTACCATGATACCTCCAGCCTTAGCCTCCCAGCTCTCTCAGGAAGCTAGCCTGGAAAAGGCCTTTGCTTTCAGCTCTGGGTAAGGGGTCACCCACGCACCCTGCCAGCATCAGAATGTGAATCCAGAGAGCTGGAGGGGAAGGCCTGGCCACTCACAGCAGCTCTCAGTAACAGGCCAGCATGTTCTCCAGGAACACACCAGGAAGCCTGTCCTCACCCAGTCAGGCCACTGAGCCAGGCACTATGGGGACACAGCGTGTCCCAACAAGGCATCATTCCCACAGAGATGCTGCAGCTTGTCAAAGACTATCACCTGCTTCTCTCTCTAAAGGCGTGGGTATCCCTAGGCCCTAAGAGGTCAGGACACCCTGAGGTTGCAGCTATGAGACAGCTTTGCACAGCAAATGAACAGAGCCTTGGAGGGAGTTTGGTTATTTTACCAACTCCCCAAGTAAATACCGGGTCTCTGTAAATGAAACCTGAGCCAAAGCCAAAGCTTTGTTTAAAAGCACAGTGCCTCTGAGTCTGTGGTCCCAGCACTGGGGAAGCCAAGACTGGAGGATCTCAAGTTCAGGACAGCCTAGGCTACATCAGAACTTGTTCCCAAAAACACAAAGAAGAAAAACAAACTCAAAGCTGAAGGGAGAAAAGTACAGACAGGCCCCATTGGGTTGTCCTGTGGTGAGCACATCTGACTCCTGCCAAATGCTCAGGGACAGGCACACAGTGTTATGCCAGGTTCATGGGACCCTCAGAGACCAACAGGAGACGACTCAATGCAATTGCAAGAGAGCTTTATTACGAGAGCGATCAAACTCGGGACCCAAGTCTCACCGACACAGCAGTAGAGAAGTGGGACCCCCAAGCTCTGAGTGAACAGGATTTTTAAAGGGAAAGTCTGTGAGCAGGGGGTTTCCATGGCAGCAAGCAGGGGGGCACAAGTCTTGGCATTACAGAATTGGGTAAAGTTTAGCAGGGTGGGGTGACCTTTTCTGAGGCACACAGTCACAATGGCTAAGGCATATAATCACAATGGCTATTTTTCTAAACCACATCTGAAACATTGGGGAGAATTTTCCCACCCGATTCTCAACCGATTCCCATTGATTATTGCCAGGGAGTTTGTCTCTATTTTCTATGAAGCATTTATTCTGTTATATTTCCTGGAGGCTGTTGCTAGGAGAGTTAACTTTGTTTTCTGCCAGGTGTACATTCTGTGGTATTTCCTGGTACCTGAATTCAGTTCCCAGTCAAAATCTTCATTTCAAAATAGAGTTATAGTCTGGCTAACTTAAACTCTTCGTTAGGAAAGACTTTCAGGGCCTGAGAGGCAGAGGCACACCAGAATGAGGGAAGAGCCCAGCAGAGCCACATGAGCCACAGTCTCAAGCACTGCCCCTGCTGACCTCCCCTTTTCCTGGCAGATACTTGACTCACTCACTCACTTGCTGTTTTAAACAGACTCTGACTAGGTAGCCCTGGCTATCCTAGAACTCACTATGTAGAACAGGCTGGCCCTGAACTCACAGAGATCTGCCTGCTCCTGCTCCTGCCTCCTGAGTGCTGGGATTAAAGGTGTGTTTCACCATATTTTTTTGTAGCTAAACAGAGCTATGTAGCTCCCATTAGCCAGATACTTACAGTCTAGGGTGACCTTGAACTTGTCACAGTCCTGTCTCAACTTTCCATAACCTACCATTACAGGCTAGAACCATTTGCCTAGTGGGCACTTAAGAAAAAAAAAAAAATGAGACTTATGGGCAACCTTTGGGCAGAGTGCAGGGAATCTTATGAAAGAAGTGGGAAACAGTAAGATCTGGAGAGGACAAGAACTCCACAAGGAGAGCAACAGAATCAAAAAATCTGAGCACAGGGGTCTTTCCTGAGACTGATACTCCAACCAAGTACCATGCATGGAGATAACCTAAGACCCCTGCACAGATGTAGCCCAAGACAGTTCAGTATCCAAGTGGGTTCCATTGTAATAGGAACAGGGACTGTCTCTGACATGAACTGATTGGCCTGCTCTTTAATTACCTCCCCCTGAGGGGGAAGCAGCATTACCAGGACACAGAAGAAGACAATGCAGCCACTCCTGATGAGACCTAATTGACTAGGATCAGAAGGAAGGAAAAGAAGACCTCCCCTATCAGTGGACTTGGGGAGGGGCATGCATGCAGAGGGTGGAGGAAGGGAGGGAGGATGGGAGGAGGGAGGGAGCCACAGAGGGGATACAAAGTGAATAAAGTGTAATTAATAAAGAATTTAAAAAAAAAACGCTAATCTAAGTAAAAAGAAAAAAAAAAACACTGGGTACAGGGTAAATGGATATAGACCTTTATCTGCAGCCCTCAGGAGACTGAGACAGAAAGATCCTTGAATCTAAAAAGACCAGCCTGCACAACATTGTAAAATTATTTTGAGGTGCAGTGGAGGAGGGGGACTAATAAAAGGAAATTAGCAGATTATATTAATCAAAGTTATTCTGAAATAACAAAAAAAAAAAAAAAAAACCACCTATCATTT